TATCTATCTCATCAGATTCCTCCAACCAAACACACCCTTCAAGAAAAAGACGTTAAAACGGTGACAATGATAATCCCATGGTAAGTGGTACATGTGGGTGGTGTCGTTGTTAAACATTATCACCACTGGAGTGCTCGTCAACCGATTCAAACCGCGGTGACTGAACTGAAAAATCAATAATCGAATAAATCGAAAACTGAAAATCAAAAAAAAAAAATCTCAAATTTTAATTGGATTGGATCGGTTTTCAGATTGGTTGATGAAAACCGATCCAATCTAAACCAATCCAATATATTAATTTTCCTCTATTTACTTGGGTTTTTCTCCAATCATAACCCAAAAATTTCTAAACCCAAGATCCATTAACCCATCAACTAAACCCAAGAAAAAATATAGTTACATCTCATCAACAAAATTTCATATGTGTAAAGTTTCATATCTCATTGTCCAAAATATAAAATCTATATTATCGTTTATTGATGTTTTTGTATTTCAAAAAGAAAAAATTATAAAGCTAATATATACAAAATATATTATTTGCACAATAACCATGAAACAAATTTTAGGATTTTCATAAAATAAAAAAAAAATTGGATTGGATTGGATCGAATTTGAAAAAAATCCAAATCGAATGCCGAAGGAATTGGATCGTTTTTGCTTCCAAAACTAATACAATTCAGATCGAGAACACCCCCGATCACCACACATGATATAAAAAAGTATATGTTTAAATGATTTTGTTTTAAAAATTAAATATAATATAATATTGTTAAGATTGAACTAGGAACGAATCAAGTTAAAAAATATTGCAACTAATCACACTAGAGGGGTTATATCAGCCAAAACTAATAATGTAGACGGAAGTCCAATGTTTAGAAAGTCACTCCCATATACTAGACATTGGGGATTTACGGGTTGTGTTTAGAGTGGGTTGCTCACCCCACCTTTGAAGGTGGACTAGAAAACTCAACTCGCGTCGCCCATTTAGGCAAGCGACCGGCTAAACCCGTGACATTTTATACTAAAATTTAAAAATAAATAAATAATTCAGCCCGAGCGGGCTGGCGGGCTTCGCAGGACGGGTAGCGGGTTTGAAAAACTCAACTCGCTTTATTCGTTTGTATTAGAGAATATAATATAAATCATTAAAAAGATCCTCACCCAACACCTTAAGATTTTGTTTTGGGTTGAAGTGGTTCTTTAAATGATATCAGAGCTTCAGTGACCATGAGGTCACGAGTTCGATCCTCACTGCCCCCCACTTTCAGGTGAAATTAAGAAAAGCACAAGGCAGACCAAAAAATGGACTTGTGCAGCATAAGGTAGACCAATAATAGACTTGTGTCATATCCACACTTCAAGTCCAAATGACTCTTGCATGAGAGAGTGTGTTTGAGAATATAATATAAGTCATTAAAAAGATCATCACAACTTTCAGGTGAAATTAAGAAAAGCACAAGGCAGACCAAAAAATGGACTTGTGCAGCATAAGGTAGACCAATAATAGACTTGTGTCATATCCACACTTCAAGTCCAAATGACTCTTGCATGAGAGAGTGTGTTTGAGAATATAACATAAGTCATTAAAAAGATCATCACAACACCTTAAAATTTTGGATTAAAGTGATTCTTTATAATTTAACGGGCGGGGCAAACCGGCCGTTTTACCACCTCTTTGTGTCATGAGATTTGTTGAGCACCACAATTACATGAATTGAATCACTACCTAGCATTACCTTCTTCATTCATTCAAGCCAATTCCCAAGCCTTCAAAACGTTCCAAAGTTCAGCAGTTTGAACAATTCGAAATTCAACGGGCGAAGCTGCTGAGTCATTGTACACCCTAGTTTCTGATAATACTGCCACACCCAACAGGTCACAAATTGTCTCTGTGTGATTGATTTTATTCGAAGTTTGAAGGTTAAAATACAACTTAACCCCTTAAATTTGTTATCATGTTTTAAATTATCACTTTATATTTAATTAACAACTGACCATGTTAATTCCCTAAATCCCTAATTTTATTCTACTCTCCAAATTTACTTTACACATTCTCTTTCATCCATAAAGGTGCAATCTTTTCACAGATATAGTATGGGTAGTTCTCGTCCTAAACCCATTTCTCATCAAATAAATCACATCCACCACCTTTTTCTCAAATAAACTCAACTGCTCCTCACTAAGCCCTTTTATCCGCAACCAGTAAACCTCGGGGGTTGATCCAAGAGCCCAAATCTCGTAGCCAAATCTTTGTTAACCAAATTCAAATTTAAGTTTACAAAAAAAATTCAAATTCTAGTTTCTGGTTATTGCACTAACGGTTGGCTGTTGCAGTGGTCATTGGTCAACAATGATGCGTAGATCGGTGGCATGCAAGCAACACAGCATTCATGCCCCCGCACAATTAAACAGAAGCATCTTTAATTTAGATAATTAATTTTTTATCATCATAAATTACGAAGGAGTCTATGTAGGCTTCAGAAACTAATCAATGGGTGTGTGATTTAAAAAATACCACTACAATATTGTTCGAGACTTTTTAATCTACATTTTTGTAACGTCAGGGATTTAGATGTTCTCATATGTACAAGGAATTATATTATTTCATCACAACCACTTATTTAAAAATTATATATTTTTTCTTTCTTATCTTATCATCAATAAATGATTGTGATCAAATAACATGATCACATGACCACTTTTTCACGTGAAAAGATCTAAATCGATTACATCAGTGCAAGTTAATCCTTCCGAAGTATTGACACTATTTTACTGTATAAAATTTATTACAAATTGAATTAATGTTAAATCATTTAATAGTATTCCTTCTAAAATTAATCAACTATACATATAAAATATAAACCACAAAATTAAATTAAAATTTAACACTTAAATATATAATAATGCATAAATAGAAAGAAAAAAAAGACACGTGACTATTTAAAAAATAATTATTACGTACATACATACACGAATATATATTTTGAGCATATTACATAAACTCTATAAATTCAGGATTGGCCATTGAATCGATATTCTTATTTGAATTTTATTAATTTTAATGTTCAAACTTGATTTTTTTTATTGAATGTACATAATGTTCATAGGGATTACTGTTTCAATATTCTAGAAGATAATTTTATCTTTTAAACACACTTAAAAGTGTGTATGACCCATATTTTCTTTCTTTTCTCTTCTCTTCACATGGTCTCACATAAGTTATACACATTTTATATGTGTGTAGAAGATAAAATTATCTTTTATAATATGAGAAGCATTAATCTCTTTTTGTAAGCTTATTTTTTTTTATTTCTTCAAAGATTAATATTGTAAAATAAGTTTAGATGAATATAACATGGATTTCTCTTCTCTCATGTCACATGAGATAATATCTTTTATGCTATAAAGTATAAACACAACAAATGATGAGATTCACCATTTTAAAAAAAAAGAAGAAGGATAATACGGATTTCGATATCTCACAACATGATAAAATAAACTTCAATAACATGAGAAAATGATTTCTCATATAACATTTTGGGAAAAGTTAAAAAATCCCTTTCCTTTTGCTTTAAATTGCATACATTCCTATACTTTTTTCAATCACTTAATCTCTGTGATTTTTTCCATCCACCTCTTCTTTAACACTGTTAGAAACTTGTATAAATATATCTACTTTACCCTTCTTAGAAGAAGAAAATAAAGTGATAAAAAAATAAAACCAAATATTATAAAATTTAAGAATACTTAATAAAGACTAAAAAAATAACAAATGTGTCTAAACAAAAAAAAATTGAATAAGAACAAAAAAAAATAGAAGGAAAAATAAGACCAAATAGGTTACAAATTACAACAATGACAAAAAAATCAAAATTAAAAAAATTAAAATAGTCTAAATAAATGACAAAATATATACTAAATACAAAAAAAAAGAAAAAAAATTAAGATAAAAAATAAAATAAAAAATAGAACAAAAAGAAATAACAGTTATGAATTTTCAATATATTTGATTTTTTTTTATCTTTGATCTATTTTATTCTTTTTATTTAGATATATTTGGTCTTTTTCATATCTCTATTATATTCTCTCTCTCTCTTTTTTTACGAAAGTCTTTAGTAAATGGGGTGGTACAAGGCTAAAAAGAGAGAGAATAAAATAGACTAAAAAGTGAAAAAAATAGATAAAAGATCAAATATATCTAAATAAAAAATAATAAAATGGGATTATATAAAAAAATAGAATAGATTAAGGACAAAAAAGAAAAAGAAAATAAAATAAAATCAGATATATTGAAAACTCATAATTGTTATTTCTTTTTTCTATTTTTTATCTTAATTTTTTCTTCTATTTTTTGTATTATATATTTTTTCATTTAGACTATTTTTTATTTTTAGTTTTTTCTGTCACTGTTGTGCTTTTTAACATATTTGGTCTTATTTTTTCTTCTATTTTTTTTTTAGACATATTTGAACTTTTTTTTTTTTTCATTTAGTCTTTTGTAAAGTAATCTAAGTTTTCATTATATTTGATATTTCTTTTTTTTCTTTTTATCACTTTATTTTTTCTTTCTAAAAAGGATAAAGTAAACATATTTAATCAAATTTCTAACACTGTTATGGAGAGATGGATGGAATTATGGAAACACGGGGGTTGTTTTTGAATTTTTCGCTAACATTTTTAAGTAAAGGGTATTTTTGTAAAAACAATTAACCTGCCGACTCCAAGACGTTACGAAACACGTTTAACACCCGGTATGTCAAATAGAAATCAACATTTTCAACCGTAAGTACCGTCATCCTTGGGTGCCGGTGCCAGAATGTTATTCATCTTCTAGAAAAAGCCAATAAAAAAATTGGATAGTTTCATGTTCATGTGGGGTTGGCGGCAATTTAATACTTTGCATAGCAAGGGGAAAATGAACTGCGAGTTTGAAACTCTTTTTAACATGTATTTCATCTTGTTTTTCTTACTAAATAAATAATTAACTCATTGGAGGAGACATATATAGCATCAAGCCTATCTATCACTAACAAAGATTTATTACATTTTGAAATTAGCATTCTGATATAAACATATCACCCGCTTTATAGATGCACTAAAGGAAGGTTAACCACAGAGATTAAAGATATATCTATAAACTAAAGGGTTCGAGCGTTTAATAATAGGTTTAAAAACATGAATAGCTCTGCTGCAAAATAAGCCTTAAATTCTAATCAATATCTCAATACAAGAAACTCTACATCATGATCTCCATGTGGATCTGACGTCTCTAATCATGAGTAGCTTCAACCTTTTTTTAATGGCATCATGCTTCCATCTTGGTTCTTGATAAAAGGCTTCTGCTTCTGCTTATTGGACACAACATGGGTGTGATATAATATGACATTAGGCTTCACATCGAAGTCCCTAATAAAAGGATCTTTCCCTGCATCTGATATTCTTGGATCCTGAATAAGGTCTTTGATTGCTTCTGGCATAGGTTGAGCCTTCATCATATTCTTCCAATAATCTCCCAGGTCTTTTCTTGCATAGCTGAAGTTGGCAACCTATTCATCACAAAAAAACGTTTCTAAGAGTTTTAGTACAGAGAAAATTCAAAAGGTCATGTATAACAACAATAGATATATACTCATTAATTCAAATTGATATATATAGCTTGAATTTCATAAAATGGTTTTTCATAGAGCAGATTCAGAAAGCTTACCAGGACAAGAGAGAAGATTACTATCACAGCAGAGATGGACTTCATCTCTATGCTAATCTGTTAGATTTGTCAGCGTTTAGGTATTTCTTTAGGCCAGAACCAGAAGTGACCCACGATGAACACGTATTTATGTTTATCATAACAGTTGGAAAAATTAAGTACATACTTCATACGCGGTAATGTCAAAGGTCCAAATCCAAATGGTAGGTGGAAAGCACACCAAATTCGATTGCTACTGTTCCCGCACAGTCGCACACGACACATGATAGAAAATGTTTTGACCAGAGAAGAAACGACAAGTTTGTGCGCGTGTGACTACTGAGTACTGACTATACGTATATAAAAGGAATCTCAACAACCCCAATTTTTCTTTAACACACTATTTATTTAGTATCTGTTTGCGATTCTTTTTTTATCTTCACTTTTTATCATAAGCAAAAATTTATAATAAAAAAAAAATAAAAGCTAATCAGAGGAGCTTTTTTGAAGATCTATGTCATCTTTTTTTTTTAGAGTTTTCATATTTATTTTTCAATTTTATTCTTATTTTTAACATGTATTTATAAATATTATCATTTATCATAATAATTTAATTCAATAACAAATCATTTAATCTCTCACCATTCAAAATTTTGAGAGCAGCTTTATATTATTACAAAACAACTTTTTGGTTTTATTTTTGAAGCTCTGTTTCATAACTTTAGTTTAAAACTAACTTTTAACTCAAAAAATTAAATAAAATCTAAACATGATCTTGTTGTTGGAAAAAATTTCAGCTACTATTGAATACTTTAAGTTCATTATGCACAAATATTTCAATGCACGAAAAAAAAGTTACTCTGTTCTGACAGGCACGATAAACAAAAAGCCATTATCCACAAAATCTTGCCAGCACTTGATAACACAAACAAATTTTATATTATGAATTACATGCAATATATGGTCGTCTAAGAAATGAAGCGAAATGGAGCATTTTTTAGATTTAGATTTGCTTCAGAGCAATCTTTGATTGCGGTCCATAAAGATCAGTCAATTTCATGGACCAAATTTTGACACTTGTTTTAGTCATATATATGATGGGTGTGCATACGTATAACAACTAAAATTTGTGGTTAAAGGTTCATTTGTTACCCTGTAGCAAAAGAAAAATGCAAGTCCACTAAGATATAAGTGCTGTGGGATAGTGGTAATGGCGTCTAAATGCTTAGTTCGTTCGGTAGAATGACAAACATTTAAAACTGACGTTGCCTTTCTCATTGAAAACTATACGAAATTTTTCTCTCAATTGAAAAATCCCAAACCTCACAAATCTAAAATGGACTAAAGGCTACACTCGCATAAGATGATCATCATGCTGACATACGGGCACAACAACTCTGCTGGTTGGTTTATAAGTAAGAGGGTTGATCCTATGTCACACGTCGACCCTATGTGCCTTATTAAATAGTTTAGTTCTACTCTGTATTAGTACATATCACATAAAATTTCAATTAATAATAGAGAGTCACGTAATCAAGATTTCTTGAGGAATCTATGGATATACACTTATACTCCTTGGACGGTTCCAACTTTGATCGTTAGGCAAAAGAAATATGGAATCAGTGGGAGAACCCGGTTTATGAGATAATCAGTGGGTGTATTTGTTAGGGTAACAAATAAAAGGGTATGGATGAGAACTATTCTGTTTTCTGTTTATGAAAAGAATCAATTTTTTTTATTTATGTGTCTTGAACAGTCTCTGGAAAAAAAATTGTATTTGATAACATGTTTTGCTTTTATTCCGAGAATGAAAATTGCATTTGATAACATGACAAATAATAAAATAAAAAATTATTCCTATTAAACATAAGTTTTTTTCGGATCATCACTCTTTTTTTTTCCCATATGGTATGGTGGTGGTGGTTGTGGTATGATTGTGAAGGTGGTGGTAGTGGCGGCGTTGGTGATAGTGGTAATAGTGGTGGTGATGGTAGTGGCGATGGCGTGGTGATGGTAGCAGTGGTGGCGACGGCGGTAGTGTGGTGATAGTGGTGGTGGTGGTGATGAATCGACGATGATAGTAGTGGCAGAGAGTGATTGAGAAAAATAAACATTTTTCATTTTGTGCCTGAAAATAAAAAAACAAAAAAAAAGTATTCTTTTTTCTATTCCCTAAGTGTGTGCATGACAACCATTCTGTTCCCTAGCACTGTTTCTGAAAAGAAACAATTCTTTTCTATTTCTGTGCCTTAGAACAGTTTCTGAGAAAAAAAATGTGTTTGATAACATGTTATATTTTTATTCTTAGAATGAGAATTGCGTTTGATAACACAACAAATAATATAATAAAAAATAATTCCTATCAAGCATAATTTTTTTTGAATCATCACTTTCCTTTTCATATGGTGGCGGTGGTGACGGCGGCAGTGGTGGTACTGACGGCAGTGGCTGCGGCGATGGTGGTGATAATGGTGGCGATGGTGGCAGAGATAATGGCGGCGGCAGCGGTTGGTGGCGTGGTGGTGTTGGTGACAACAGTGACTGCGACGGTGGTGGTGGTGGTGGTTGGTGGAGGTGTGGCAGTGGCGATGATGTGGTGATGGTGGTGGGGGTGGTGGTGACGACAATGATGGTGGTAATGGTGGTGGTGGTAGTGGTGGCGGTGACGGCAGTGGCTGCGACGAAGGTGGTGGTGGTGGTTGGTGGCGGTGTGGCAGTGGCGATGACGTGGTGATGGTGGTGGTGACGGCAGTGGCTGTGGCAATGATGGTGGTAATGGTGGTGGTGGTAGTGGTGGCGATAACGTGGTGATGGCATAGTGAGAGTACAAGATGTTCATTTCTGTTCTCGGGAACAGAAATTAAAAAAGAATTCATTCTGGAAAGATTGTTATGCACACCCTAACACACAGAAATTAAATCGGATGATTCTCATAAAAAAAAATGGTTTCATCGAATACTGTTTCTATTAATTTTTATTCCCAAAAACAAATTAAAAAAAAATTAAAAAGTTGTCATGCACATCCAAAATGTACAAGACACAAACTTCATAATAGATAATAAGAGTTGACCAAAATGCTCGGTTGGCTTTTTCCAAAATCAGCTTCAAATGTGCATCACTGAAAAAATGATCATGATGCTCAGATATAAAGGAAGGTCTTTCTTATATTTTAAGATGTAAATTTATTTTTTATACACATATAAAAATATATAAAATTTATATAGAGTTATATGAGGAGAAAAAAAGAAATAAAAAATATGAACTACACATATTTTTATCGGAAATACTATTCTCCATCCGCAGGAATGTAAACAGTAATTCCTGCACACAGAGAGATTGATTTTTGAGTTTTTTGTTTTTTACTTTATTTAATAATAAATGATGGGACCCATGTACGTTTGTATCTGCTGGAAAATGGTGTTATCAACTGCAATATAAGAAAATTTATCCCCTATTTTTATATATGTATTGAGATAAATTATCTCCTAAAAACATTAAACCCATTAAGAAATCAAATCAAAATCTAGTTGCACTTACTTTTGTTCCCTAGAGGTTCATGCATGACATGTAATCCCTATTTACTTATTTGGTATATAAGTCTGTGTTCTGCTGCTTCTTTTTGTGTGTGTGTGTCTGTCCTGTAGTGGTAGGTTGTAACCTATCTGCTTGTGCCAAAGTCAACTTCGTTTCTGCATCAGAAGGGCCTACTTGTCTTCATAACAATTAATTGTTTCATAAGGAGTTTCTATCAGATTGAATTCTTAATTGATTATTGTTATGTAAACACGGGAAAAGACAAAACTATTTATATTTTTGTTGGGGGGAGGGGCGGTTTCTCTGTCAACAATATGATGCTATTTCCTAGTTGACGCCAACAGCAATTAAATGACAATTGACTATCATACATGTTACTAATAAACTTCCAAAGTTAACTATGGTATCAAATTGCGTCAGTTTAAACAAGGTTAACTCTATAATATTACAGGACATACAAACATCTTCCTGCTCAGCCATCAATTATAACATAATAAATAAGGGTGTGAAAAAAACTGATTCAGTTGCTCTTCTCATGATTTGATTTTGATCTAACCCATAAATACTTATTTTTCTGAACTGAGTTTAAATATTAATCCACTTATATTTGAGTTAGTTTTAAACTTGATTTGTTTTAATAATTGACTTATTGATCTAAAATTTAACCCATTGACTCAAAATTTAACCCAGACCCATTTTATGAAAAAAGTATCAACTGTCGTTGATAAATCAAAAAAATGCATCAGAAATAATTTAAAACAATCACTGAATAATAATTTAAAAAGAAGAAGAATAAACTTATAGTAAGCAATAGGAGATTAATTGAAGCAAATGCAACTAACCTCATGTGACGGAGCAGAAGGGTGACGTGTGGGATCACCCTGCTCTTCTTCTTCTTCTATGGCTGAATCTGTAGGAACCGCCATGCACTTCGTCTTCACTACTTGCTCCAATTGAATTGCATCAATTTTAATTTGGGTAAAGCTACCATCATGTAATAAGAATCAAAACCATTTTTCCTGCTGAAACAAAAATGAATATGGGTCCATACATGTAATAAAAACAAAAAATAAAAAATGCTAGTGCAGAAACCAATGGGTCAGCAGGTAAAAAATGTTATATTATGTTACATGATACTAGTTTTTTCTTTTTAATTTTCTTCGATGAACCTGATCCAAGGCCCAAAATTCTTCCCATTTTTTTTAATTTATCATCAATTTGGAGCTTTTTGGTGATCCAATAAAATCATGATAATTGCTAATTGCTAATTGCGAATATCAATTATGAGTTAGAATGAGCTACCAATGACATTGATTAGTACCATGGAATAGTAATATTAGCACTTTTTTTGAAAAATTGGTATTTATTCAACAAAGATCAAATTTATTATATATTTTAAAACAATAAATAATTAAATTACATGAGTTTAAAAATTAAATCAATAACTATAAAAAAATAAAATAAAAAATAAATTTTGAAACCAAGTCAAAAGCGGGTCAGGTCAGATTTTACCTGATTTTGAAATCAAGTCAGACTCACTTCAAAAATCAAGTCAAGTCAGATCTGATTCTGTTCTGAACCAGTTCAAAAAAAATTCAAATCGGTTCAAACCTGACTTGGATCAAATTAAACTGGGTCGAGCCAAAATACCTGACCTATAAAATCAAGTTGTGTCGGATTGGCACAAAAATCTGATCCCACCTGACCTATGCACAACCCTAATGACAAATATAAAATTTTTATGGGATGGTTGATGGAAGGTTTTTTTTAAGATTTCGGGAATTTGAAGATAGTAATCTTATTTATCGATGTTTGATACGAGATTTCTAAAACAAATTTGGAAATATGATTTGTCTGGAATTTTATTTTTTGTATAATTTTTTTTGAAAATATCATTCAAGAATACCACTCAGAGGTATATTCTAAGATTTTTGTGACAAGAAAAAATTTAACACAATCAAATATAATATCAAGAAAATTAGCTCAATATTCTTAAAAATATTTTTACCTATTAAATAACTTTTTAATAATATTTTTAAATAATTCATTTTTGGATCACATTCATAAAAATCGTAATTCTCGAATACTTTTTTTTTTTTAGAGTTATCTTTTGAAAAAAAGGCAATGGTTATGTGCTTTTCCACAAACATCCAATTAGTGGAAAAAAGCTTATCTATATCTTCTCCGTTTCCCACGTTTAACTTTTTGGGGAAATCAGCGCTACTTTTGAGTTAGGGTCAAAACCAAAACATTAGGTTGATGGCATATGTGATTTTGATATGATAATGTTAAAAAACACTTTATAAAAGGTTTCAAAGCAACGAGATAAGGCATAAAAAGATAGGGTAGAAGAAGAAAACTAGCTTGTTCTCTTAGGCTGAGACTTTTGAAAAGGCATTATCTTATCATATTGGTCTTTTTCTTTATCTTTCGTTGACTTGATCTGCAGATGTGACACCATGGTGTGAATCAGAAAATGGGTGAACCACGGTTGTCCCTTTTATTGGTTTCACACAGGCTGAGTCCCGATTCCCGATTGAGAATTTGAGACATAGGATGTTGGGTAGGGGAATTTTTTTTTTTGAATACTTACAAAAATGAGAATGAATTTTTAGAAATGTCATGTTTGATATCATTTTTAAAAAAAAATTATCTAGAAAAGTTAGATGTCTGATAATCAATTGTGTATAATTTGTGAAAAAAATTTACTGTAAATAATACCACCCAGATGGTGGTATTGTTTGATTGATGGAAAAATAAAAAAAGAATAAAAAAAATAAAGAAGTAACTATGTGTAATTTTTATGAGTTTGTTTTTTCTGCAGTTAATGTAGATAAGTTATCTGTACAAAACTTAATACAACATTGTTTTGCGACGAAAATTATAGTGTTTTTGTAATTTTAATTTATTTTAAATTATTATATTCTTTATAATTATAATTGTTTAATTTTTCAATCCTAAAACAATGTCTTTTTAGAAGTAAATACATAATACTTATGAAATATAGACTCAATAAATTTTATTCAATATTCCCAATAAAATTAATTCCGATTCAAAGTTGGAAATTTATGGGTGCGCTGGTGGTATGAGCTAAGGCTCGAGGTGCATGACAGCTGCTGCAGATTGAACAGTTTTCTCAACGTTCTCCGTTTCCCACTATGATCAGAAAAAGTCAAAGGAATTGATACCATGATACCTAAGAACTAGCGGGCAATGTGTGAGGTGCGTATGAATCTAGAAGTGGGCATCTGATGCCACTATTCGTTATAGTAAAAAATTTATCACGACTTTTTACTATTATAGAGGGAACTTTGATTTTCATTCAAAATATATATAGAATATTCATTACATTATTAAAAGATTACTACATCAATTGATCTACAAGTAGTTTTTTGGACATAAAATTGTTTAAAATTACTATTTATAAAAACCAGATTAAATACATGATGATAAAAAAGAGAGAGTATGATTTAAAGACCAATTTGATGTGATTTTCCCTATTTTATATTCAAATGTCTCATCTTCATACCACTATACAAACAAAAGGAAAAACAAATAGTCTAACTTCTGAACGTAGTCCTTTCATTTTATAGCACGTTGCACCATAATTATTTCCCATTTGCCAGTCATGGGTGCAATTAAGTTTAATCAAATGACTAAAGGAGGGTGACATTTTTAAATTACATATAATGTTAACATAAACACGTTGTTATTTGCTCATATCAAATACTCACTTCACGAGGTGCACGCCAATTTATAAACAGACTGCATTAACATAATGAATCCCAATGAGGTCAATGGTCCATCATCCAATTAACTTGACAGGAATCCACAGCAAAGGAAGCGGTTCTGACTTCTGAGCTGTCTAGTTTTCCAAGACACTCAGCCTTTTATTTAGTTCATACTCTTTTCTGTTAGAAGCTAGGACAAAAGATCTTAAGTTTCAAGAGAAACAAAGAAATGAGACTTGGAATGGCTTCGTGGAGCTTCATCCTATGCACCATACTTGTCTTTTTGGTATGATCTAGCTATGCTATTCAGTTAAATTAAATCATATTTTTGTTGACTTGAAACTTTATTGTCATCTTCATAATGCAACACTCCTACAGATCTTGCAATTTAAGTCTTCCTTCACTGATTCTTGAAATTTTTTACTTTATAGTCATATCTTCTTTCAGCAAAACTTTGTTTGAAATGATTTTGGTTCCTTTGTTTCCATGACACTGTTCATCTGAGAATGGTTGCTTTTATGATAAATTTGTCAAACATCCTTCCATTTGATATTTTTTTTTCAACTTTATTCGATTGTGTCATTGATGTTGCAGATTGTACAAGACAGTGGCGCTAGAAAGATAGCTACAACATCTGGGAAAGCTATTCAACTGAGGGAAGTATCCTATGATTTGCAACAGCTTGCAATAGAGGGTCTTACTAATATTATGCAGCTTGAAGGCGCTGATGTAGAAATGAATAAGAAGCCTGTCCAAAAAGAAGATGATGATGATGATGACGATGATCACAAAGGACTCAAAGGAAAGTATGGAAAAGAAGATGATGATGAGGTCGACGACAACGATAATGATCACAAAAGAAGAAGAAAGCATGTGAGAGAAGAAGAGGATGATGATGATGATGATAAGAAGAAGAAAGGAAAGCGAGTTGATGATGATGATGATGATGATGATGATGATGATGATGATGATGATGATGATGATGATGATGAGGACGACGATGATGAACACAAAAAGATCATTGGAAAGGATCACAATCACATGGACCCTGAACTGAATGTGTTTTTCATCCCAAGTGATTTAAAGGTTGGGAAAACAATGCCCATCTATTTTTACAAGAAAGATTCTTCAGCATCTCCAAAATTTCTACCCAAAGAAGAAGCTGAACGGATTCCTTTCTCATCAAAACAACTACCTTTCCTTCTCAAATTCTTCTCTATCTCAAAAGGCTCTCCCCAAGCCAAGGCCATGAAATATACTCTCGAACAATGTGAATTTGAATCCATGGAAGGAGAGACCAAGTTCTGTGCTACATCATTGGAGTCTTTGCTTGATTTTGCAACTTATCTGTTTGGATCCAATGCGCAATTCAAAGTTTTGACCACTACCTATCTCACGAATTCCACAGTCCTTTTACAGAACTATACAATCTCAGAAGTGAAAGAGATTTCAGTTCCTAACGCAATAGGATGTCACCCGATGCCTTACCCTCATGCAGTTTTTTATTGCCACAGCCAAATGAGTGACACTAATGTGTATGAAGTGTTGGTAGAAGGTGAGAATGGAGGGCGAGTTCAAGCTGCAGCTATTTGCCACATGGACACCTCTAAGTGGGACCCAGATCACGTGTCCTTTCACGTGCTCAAGGTTGAACCGGGAACCTCCCCTGTGTGTCATTTCTTCCCTTCTGATAATCTAGTGTGGGTGCCTTTGCCTGCGGCTCTATAAATAGCTCAATGTTCCTGATCTAGTAGTCTTGTTCTGTTTGTGTGTGTATGAAACTATGCCAGCTATAGTGTTAGTACTAGACCTTGTGTACTAGGAAGCGCGTCTTGATTATAACTATGTATCTATGTCAATAAAGATGTTATTTTGATGTGCTTAGAGCCTTAAGAGTAATCATTTTCTTGTCTTCTGATTGCCAAGGTATAAAGTGAGGATTGAACATAACCAAGAAGTTTAGCTATTCAACTCCTTTCTTGTCAAAACAATACATATTTGACAACAAAAGTATCCTCTGTTCGACAATAGGCTTTTTGCGTATCAATTACCCAACTTGATGCAATTAACAGCCATTAAATTGCAAGTCTCAATTTAGTCTTACTGAACTGAAACATATTCAGTTAAAAAATACAAACTTATTGAACTGAAACGATTTGTATTTTGTAAGACGAGCTCTTAATTTTTTTCTTTTCTTTTTTATGAAGAAAAATAAAATAAATGTCATAAGTTTATATTTTCTTTATCCAGCTTCAAATTTATGAGACAGAAATCTTTTTCCTTCGTCTGACAGGCCAATCTTCGATTTGTTCATTGCTCTCAACAACTTATTCCGGCTACGAGATTTGTGTTCTTTGATCTCAATGATGACCTCTTGCTCCAACAACTATTTTCCAACTTGCTATGATAACTTCACTAATCTCCACCGTTAATTTTTTAGTAAAACATTGTTCAAACATGAGAGATTGTTTAGTGAAGTAGAAGTAAGAAGTATTCCTACTGCCTCAATATATAATACTTCTTCTCAAAAAATTTAATCCTGAGTGGCTTCAATCTACTCATCTTTCGCAATAAACAGCTTTCCCTCGTAACAGCAGAAAGATATGGCTCTAATGTGGTGTTTGGTTGAAAGCTTTTTAGGGGATATCTATCTTTCTCAAGTATGGCTTTTAGAAACACCATGTTTGTTTCAAAGTTTTTCACCAAAAACCCATTTATCCAATTTGTCTGGATTTATGAGAAACATAGATATCCGCACTGTTTAGAAACCCAATTTGAAGGTGGGATTTTTCGGAAAACCGGTTATCTGGCTTTTAATGCACTGTTGATTTCATAAAGTTACATAATTTTCCCAGTAAAGTTTTTCCCCACCAAACAACTTTTTTTTACATTTTTCTAGCTATCTCAATTTATCTATCTTTCCAATCATTTCTCTATCTATCTCATTTCCCTACTTTTCCAAAAAAATTTCCTCAACCAAACGCCCCCTAAGAGATGCCCGGAGCGTCCTCCCTTTTGTCCTGCTCTTGATGATTGTAAGGCACTTTATTGCATGAAACGAAGCATGCATGCCTCATTGTATCTTCTTTTTTTGGAGTTACCCAATCCTAATTATCTCTTTGAGACGAGTTGGCTCCCTCCGGTATCCCCACGAGCTTCGACTCTTTGAGCCGGCTATAGGACTAATCCGGAGTGCGGGGGAACAGTGATGGCTAAAATATCTTCTACGCGGGGCATTTCCCATCCCCTTTATCCTAATAATCTAGCATTTCACATTTTCCTCTTAATATGCAACTGTGCACGTTGAAATGCTTGTTTATTAATATCCTCCTTAGTTGTTCTATGCATTCACCAAACTCTAATTCAAGTTGGTCTGTTCGATTTGAAAGAAAGGCGTTATTTTTTTACTATGACAAATTGCTAAAAATAAAAATTAAATTCTCTATTTTTTGTCCTTAGCTTTTGGTATCCCTCCTAAGGTAGCTCCTTTGTAACCGAAAGTTTGCGAGATTGAATTTAGGACACAACGTCTTTGACTTACTCTGGCAAAGTTAGTGTAGCCTTTGTGCACTAGAAAAAACTTACCCATAATTCCAATCCAGCCTACCTTGATATGGGTGGTTGCAAAACAGCCAAGATGGTAAACAAAAATCTTCTCAAAACTCAAATCCGGTTTACCTTGATGGCTGGTTGCAAAAAGAGCTGGATCGTAAAAATAAATCAACGCATAATTCCAATCTTGCTCACCTTGATGGAAGGTTGGAAAACACTCCAGAAGAAAACGGAAAACGTATCCATAATTCCAATCAGGTTTACCTGGATGGCTGGATGAAAATCCAAATAGTAAAGAAAAAGTCACCCACAACTCTTGTCAAGTTTACATTGATGTGGATTGTTGAGAGATACCAAGACCAAAAAGAAAAGACCATCCACAACTCCAATCAAGCTTACCTTGATGGTTCGTTGAAGAAACTCAAAATAAGAAAGAAAAAACCCACTCACAACTCCATTCAAGTTTACCTTGATGGATGGTTAAAGACACCCAAGATGGGAGAGAAAAGGCAAACTACATCTCCAATCAGGTTTACCTTGATGGTTGGTTAAAAAATTCACATCCAGAAAACTACAAGAAAATTGGACAAGATTTGTCAGATTTAAAAGGGAAACTATTTCCTATAGTTGACCATACAGAAGCATTCAAGTCAGCTTTCTTCACTTTGGATGATCTTTTTGTAGGGAATGTAATGACCCTCCAATTTCCTATCAGAGAATATGCTCGCTTCTTGTTCAGAAAACAAGTTGACTCCATTCCTTTCTCAAAGTCACAACTTCCAAGCCTTTCAGCTCTTCTCACTCACAAAAGACTCTCCCCATGAAAACATGAAAGACATAATTGGTCAATGTGAATTTGAACCCATAAAAGGGAAGACCAAGGCTTGTTCTACTTCTTTAGAGTCCATGTTCTTGGTGCTAAAGCCAGTTATAACAATTACACAACTAGCTATCTGTTACGATCCAATTGCAAGGTATGGGACTTGGAGTCCCACATCGAAAACATAAGGTTCCAGTGTGAGTTTTATTTAGACTTTAGAGTCTTCTACCTTATGAGCTAGTTTTTGGGGTGAGGCTCTCTCAAGGTTCACATCAATTGGTATTAAAGCCTTCTACTATGTCTCTCAGTTGCAATCAAACGGCGCAGCTGGTGACCCTGGCATTGCAGGGCTAGTAAAAGACTAGCGCAAGGCCAGGCCACGTGGGCGCCGGAGCTGCGGAACGTAGTGAAATGCTACGATCCAATTACAAGGTATAGGACTTGGAGTCCCGCATCAGAAACATAAAGTTCTGGTGTGAGGTTTATATAGACTTTTTGCTCTCTTACCTTATGAGCTACCTTTTGGGATGATGCTTTCCCAAGGTTTGTATCACTATCCCACAACATCAAGTATCAGTTAGCAAAACTACACCATTCTAGAAATCACAAAGATATCTATGCTCCTAAATGGGTAGCTTGTCACCCTAGTCCTTAGCCTTATGCTCTTTACTACTGCCACTACCTAGACATTGGAGATTGAGGAACTAAATTGATTTATTTTCTATTATTTAGGGAATAAATTTATGTCAATTTTTATAATTAAATATTTGAATTAATGTTATTATTTTATTATTGACAGACTAAGTCAATGTTAATTTTTACAAGACTAAATTCTTCATCTTTTAAGATCAAAATAATAATTCACTCTTGTTTTCATATTCATTAGCACATTTTTTAAAAGATCATTATCAATATATACAAGAATGCGCTAAAAAATATCAGGGAATTAAAAAAAAATCTAGTTCAAAATAAGCAAGAATCCCCTGCATCAACTAAGCACATTTAACCCACAAAGTCCTAGAAATCACAGTGTGAAAATCCATAAAGCCCGATCAACCTTATCTTAATGGGCACCAAAACACCAAAAATGATCACAAGGATATGGGTAAACCTTAGATAACTGAAAATATGGTACTACCAAAAGGGTGGGTCTAATTACGCTAATCAAAGTTATGTGATTAGATCTCCAGCATTGCCATTTTATGGGATATAAAACATCAACTATTATCACCAACAGAAAATTAAGGATTGTTAATGTCGTGCACAGTGCACATAAGTTACATCCTTTAACATAAAGCCAGTACTTGAATGCGTAGAAAATGTTGAAAGCAGTACAGCCTACTGTAGATATATATAAAACTATTAATCATCACATTTAAGTTAATACTACTGAGCAGCATCTTCAGTAAACCTGGCATCAAAAGGAGCTGAAGGATGGGAAAGAGCTGAATTAGAAGTACCAGCTCCAGAGCCATGCTGCAATTCAATTACAAGCCACCGAACTGCTTTACTCATCTGTTCCAATCGAACAGCACTGATGGGTGGAAGACCGGTCATGGTAGCTTGTCCAGGCTTTCCTGCCACAGACCCTGTCGCCTCATCCACCAGACACTCTGATCCTATCCTTTGCTTCAGAGACTCCACGAACTCCTCTGCTTGATCACATGCTACTCTAAATAATTCCCACTTCTGCTTAAAGTTTTCTAGAGCAGTATCTGTTGCTGTTGTTTTTAAGGCACTGGTATTTTCTCTGCATTCTAGCACATTTGCTGCTGCAGCAATAAAATCTTGATAGGCATTATTTAGAGAATCGACTACGTTGTCCATTGTGCCTGTTTATGTTAAACAACGAAAAACTAAGATTTTTGTAATTACAGATAATGAGAGCAATCAAGACTAACGAAACTACGGCTCAAGAAAACTATAAACCCTCACCCAATAAAGACCATAAATCCCAGACCAAATTACAAAGCAGAATATCTAATCCTAGATTAAATGTAAAAAAGGCTTTGTAACTGCAAGTTCAGAAGAATCAACCCAAACAAGTTATCAAAACAAATAACACCTAAGATGCAAATTGTCTCATCCCATGTAAGTTTAGCCGTTCAGTTCCATCCCTTTGTCATTTAAACAATACAAATCAGTTAATAACAGAGACATAATCATTTCTGCAATATTAATTAGCCAACTTGATGCAATCAACAGCCGCGGAATTGCAAGACTCAAGTTAGATTCTTGCCGAACTGACAAAACAAAAAACACAAATTTAAAGACCATATCTGCAATAGCGTTACAATAATTAAAAAAAAAAAAAAAAAAACTTATCGAAAACGAAATACAAGACCCCTTCTTTGTAAGGAAACCTTTGAAATCTAGGTCAGATTAGAAGAAATGAATAATGGAAAGCAGAGTAAATTAAACTCACAACACAAGTTCCTTTTTATCTGAAAAAGTTGTTGGTAATACTACGCCACCGTCAGAGCCATAATGTGGAAGATGGATGAGTTGAGGATCACACGCCAAAGAATCTGGTGAAGAATACAGATCTGATCAGATTATAAGGGAAATTGTGGTTTATCTGCAGGGCAAAGAATAGTTCATTCGAAGTACTTTTGATTGAAAATTACTGAACATTATTATACAAAAAAAATTACTGAACATTAGTTTGTTTCCTAAAAAAATAAAAAATAAAAAAAACAAACAAAACAATTTATTTAACGGTCTGGTGTTTGTCATTTTAAATGACATAAGTTATGTCATTTTAAGTGAGAGATAGACACAGAAAAACATAAATCATGGGAGAGAGAAAGTGAGTGGTTTTTTTTAATTTAAAATTCAAATATTCTATGTTTGTATCTCTCTTAAAATGACATAACTTTCTGTCAATTAAAATGACAAACAATTTTCCCTTTATTTAATGTAAATTTGTAAGAAAATATATTTTCATTTTTACCGCAGATTTTTATTTATTTATACTGCACCAACATAAACTAATAATACTAATTAGAAGGCTATTATTATTACACGGAAGATTCTTCTATTTAGTCACAATTTTTTTCAAAGATCTTTAGTTATATGTCAAGAGTAGGATATTGTAACAACTAATTAGAGTTACTATTAAATATGTCAAAATGGGTTAAAGTCCATGAGTCAGCCCGCAAAGCATTATATTTGGCCCTAACTCATTCGGACTTTTTTGTGGTAGGGCCTGTTCTAACACTAACCCTCAAAGCCCTATAATTTAGCGGGCTGGGTTAGGGCTGACCCCTAGGCTAAACTTTTTCTATAATCAAAATTTTCATTATTTAAAAAACTAAAAATTATATAAATTTAAATATTTATAAATATAAGTAAAAAAATAGTGAATTTGATGGAAAATATAAGAGAAAGTGAAATATGAAAGAAATGAAAATGAAGCGTAGAAAAAAGTAAAAGAAAAAATAAAATAAGAATAGGTATGAGCAAAGAGTATGTATAAGGACCTATCTTAGATGCATTTTTAAATAAGAAAGTCATAAAAAATGAAGAGTCACATGTTATGAACCATGTAAAAGATTATTCATAATCTATGTGAAAGGTCGTGCATAATCTATGTGAAATGTCATTCATAATCCATGTGAAAGGTCATCCATCATATTTTACAATATCCCTTTGGATATATTCTACAATTCAACACACCATTAGTGTGATGATTATAGAATATATCAGAGGTCATAAAAAACAAGAGAGTCACGTGTTATGAACCATGTGAAGTTCATCCATGATATTTTACAACAAAAATTAATTTTTCGGTAATGATATATTTTAACAGAGATTTTTATCTGCGCATCAATAAAAATAAATTTTTTATTGACATCTAAGAATGTTATACATCCAAATTTGTATTGAAACATATTGTATACAATGCCCTTTAGGGCATGTTTGGTACATAGTGTAGGATAATGCTTGATAGTATAAGACCTAATTGTATAAGACCTGGTTAAATTTTAATACTATCATGCGTTTGGTATGGTATTGTATAAGATAATATCCTCCAATGTTTTAAAAATTAATATATTAAAAAAATTAATTTAATATATTAATATTGAAATGATATATTAGTTCTTGGAAATTGTACTTTTAAGCAACATTAATACATTAACCCCTTACCAGGCCTAATCCTACTCCCTTATGCTTGATTAAGTTATACATCATTTTGATGTATAAAGGGATCCTGCTGCATAAGCTTATACTATACAATGGTCACATCAAACAACTGAAAATGTCGTAACGTATAGTATAAGCTTATACTATCAGGTCTTATACGTCATACCAAACAGACCCTTAGTAATTTTATGGATAATAATAACTAAAAAGTTTTCTGTAACGTTAGTAGTTAAAGAAAATCAATTATTTTACTTTCAAATATATAACATACTAAGAGCAGTTATTCAATACTGATATTAAGATAATTTTTTCATCATTACTTTTTAGTTTTCCACTATAATTGTTGTATTTACTCTCGGTGAGAAAATCTTTATTTATGATATCATTTAATAATAAATTTAGTAAAAGTAGTAACTAAATTTTAACTTAAATTAAAATTTTGTTTACATTTTCACTTGTATATTTATGTACAAATCTTATTTTATTACAAAATTAAATTATAAAAAACTTATAATTTTTATAAAATATGTTAAGAAAGTGTTAAAAATTCATTTGTTAAAATATTTTTTAATGTATTGAATAGGATAAAAAAATTGTGAAATTATAAGAAAGCCTTAACCAATAGGGCTTTTGGCCCATGCGAGCCTTGATTATTGAGGTTCGTTTGGTCCTGCAGGCTTTTTGGCCCTAACCCTCATGGGTTAGGGCCAAATGGGAAAGGCTAGTTCATTTTGACAGCTCTAGTTACTACTAATAATTTCACCGTTAGATCGATTATGTGGATCGAACGGTTATATTTATTTCCATCTTTGTATAGATATGATTTCCCATATTTAATACTTTATATTTATTTTCATCTTTGTATAGTTATGATTTTCCATATTTAATGTTTTAATAAAAAATATTAAAATTAAAAAATATACAAAAACAGGTATGGAGATTTACTCAATTATTTTATTTTTGAATAAATCATACTCAAATTTTAATAATAAATAATATAATCAAATTGTGTAAATTTCATTTTGAAAAATATAGATTAAAACAAATTTTAATAATAAATAATATAAGTAAATTGTGTAAATTTCATTTTGAAAAATATAGATTAAAATGAGCATTTTTTTATTTTTATTTTAGTAAAATAAATAAATAAAATAATTTAACTAACTAGTAAAAACTATCATTGGTCAATTTCATAAAAATTAGAATAATTGTTCTAGTAGTTATCATTTTTTTAGAAGTTTTATATCACAAAAATATAACAAATACTAAAATTATGTTTTAATACCATATGAATACCTAATAGCATAAGAAAACTATGCTTATATTATCTTAAATTTTACTCTAAATTAGTATTTTTTTAATAATTTAAATTAAATAACTGCACTTATATTAAATGAATTCAAGGAAATTCAACTATGCAGAAATATATTATTTCATTTATAAACATACACTAAACAAAAAATTTACAGACAAAATTATGTTTTTAATCTGAAATAATATATACATGGTTGTAGTTGTAATTAGTGTTATGACATGTATATTACATGGGTTTGATGTTTGTTATTTTAAATGACATAAGTTATGTCATTTTAAGAGAGAGATAGACACATAGAATAAAAATCATGGGAAGAGAAAGTGAGTGATTTTTTTAATTTAAATTTTAAATAAAAAAATAAAATTATGTGTCTATCTCTCTCTTAAAATGACGTAAATTTATGTCATTTAAAATGATAAACACTTTTCCCATATTACATATAATCAAATAAAAAAAAGTCATTGTACGAAACGAAATTCTCCTATCATATAAATTAGTGGCATTATATTAATTTAAGTATATAGCAATTATCAATGAAGGTTGAGATGAGTGGTTAAATCTTCTGATTATGTTAGTGGGTGATATATAATTTCACTTTTAATTTTCAATGACAGTGGCGAAGCCAGCAAGAATAATAAATTAGGGCGGAAAAAAATTAGCTAGTGTCAACTATTAAATTTTACCCTTCAACTTAGCCACAGTTATTTACCAACATCTAAAATGTGGCTAACTTTTAAAAATTAGTTGGAGCCAAGGCCCCAGCCGGGAACAATGTGGCTCCGCCAGTGTTCAATGAGATTCATGATCTTTTCTAATCTTGGATAGGGCTATTGAAGCTCAGATAAAATATTTTGATTCTTATTGATATGAAAAAGGGATATTTGTTTCTCCTTTTACATAAAAATAAAATCTCATTCTTGCACTCACAAAATTTTATAGGATCTGCAAGTTAAAAAAGTCAAAAAAAATAAAATAAGAAAGCTCGTGTTTCAATGGATTTGTAGCAAAGTGTTGATTTCATATACAAGAGAAGAAAATCAACACCCTATGAAATAATGATTACAAGATAATGAATCATTGAGATAAACGATACACATGTATACTATAAACTTAGCAAGAAAGAGAATAACAAACTAAGTAACCAACTTGAATAATGACTAACTCCCCCAACAATCTTTCAGTAAGTTATGATTGGTTGGCCATGTATACAACTCTTCTGACGTGGACTGGTGAAAGCTGAAGTTGGTTAATGTGTTTAGCACACATGCATTAACCGAAGTAGGATTGGGCTGTGATGCAGTTGGGTTTGAAACATTTGGGTCAATTAAGCTGAGTTGTATTAAACCAACCCCCCAAGTTGTTGGACCATGTAAATTGGCGAAGCCCAACTTGGTGAGAATTGAACTAAAATTGCACTACGCAAAGTCTTAGTGAAGGAATCAGCCAAGTGATTTGATTGAAGTTACATGACAGTGGATTTCAATGTGTTTAGATCGCTCATCAAATGCCGAATTGTGCACTACATATATAGCTGATTTGTTATTACAAAACACACAAGCAAGCTTTGACCATGAAAAGAACATCTACGATGCCATTGATAAACCCAAGCTTATTCTTGGAATGTAACGCCATAGACATGGCTCGAGCCCATGAATGATAGTTCCGGCTATTAAGATTTCGAATAACAAGCACTTGTGAAGGGTTTTCATTTGGGTGAAGGAAAAGAGGGTGTGAAGGATTGATGAGAAAAGCTAGAAGTTGTTCTTGATTGGCCATAGAAGAAAAGGATTCAAAGGATGAATATTTGAAGCGAAAATCAGAACTATAATTGCTCTGATACCATATTGAAGCTCACAGAAAACATTAGAGAAAATATTCTGATTCTCATTGATATGAAAGAATGATTACAAGATAATGAATCATTGAGATAAACTATACAAATATATACAATAAACTCAGCGTGAAAGAGAATAATAAACTAAGTAACCAACTTGAATAACAATAACTAGGGGTATTCATCAACCGATCCAAACCGATTTAAACCGCGGTGACCGAACCGCGAAAAACCGATAATCGAATAAATCGAAAACCGAAAAATCAAAAATCGAAAAAAACCCGCAAATTTTAATTGGATTGGATCGGTTTTTGGATGGGTTGATGAAAACCGATCTAATCCAAACCGATCCAATATATTAATTTCTCTCTACCTACTTGGGTATTTCCCTAATCATAGCCTAAAAATTTCTAAACTCAAGACCCATTAACCCATCAACTAAACCTAAGAAAAAATCTAGTCACATCTCATCAACAAAATTTTATCTTTTTAGAGCTTCATATCTCATTGCCCAAAAAAAAATTATACTATAGTTTACTAATGTTTTTGTATTTCCAATTTTTTTTTTACAAAGCCAATATATACAAAAGATGTTATTTGCACAATAATAATGAAATAAATTTTAGGATTTTCAAAAAACCGAAAACCGATCCAATCCAAACAGAAAAAAATTGGATTGGATCGGATCGGATTTGAAAAAAAATTCAAACCGAATGGATGATTATATGATCAAACCGAAGGAATTGGATCGGATAATTTTTGCTTCCAAAACTGATCCAATCCAGACCGCGAACACCCCTAATAATAACTCCCCCAATAATCTTTCATTAATATGTCATGATTGGTTGGCCATGTATAGAAACTCATATGACGTGGATTGGTGAAAGTTGAAGTTGGTTAATGTGTTTAGCGATATGAATTAACTAAAATAGGATGGGACTATGATGCAGTTGGGCTTGAAATATTTGGATCTATTGAGTTGGGCTGTATTAAGGACAAGTACCTATTCGAAAATTTTCACCTTCTTAAAAAGTAGATAACAACGTAATTAATGTATACAAACATCTCCAATTTCACCTAGGGGGCGTTTGGTTGAGGAAATTTTTTTTGAATACTAGAAAAATGTAATTGATAGGGAAATGGTTGGAAGGTGAGTTAGGTAGAAAAGTTAAAAAAAAGTTGTTTGGTTGGGCCAAATATTACCAGACAAATTGATAAAAAATTTAAAAATCTATGTTTGGTTGAGGATAAAATATTGATGAGTAAAAGAGATATAATTACAAATATAACCCCATAATAAAAGTGAAAGGTGTTTGGTCTAAACCAAAACGAGCCGTTCGATCTACTTTGAAGATGCTAGGAACTATTATTATTTGTGAAACGCACTCACGCTCTCCTTCCTCTCTTTCTCGTTCTGTCTTTGCAACTCTCGGTGGTGGAGAAAATCACTTGCAACAAAACTCTGAAATTTGAAGATTTGTGAATCAATTTTTCGTCGAATCCTAATAATTTCTCAGGGCTATAATCATTGCTGTAAGTTAGGGTTTCCAATTTCCATGTTGATTTGCAGAACCTCATTTGGTGAATAAATTTTGTAATTATTGTTGTTTCTGGGTGCTTTGGGCACGTGATGAGAAGACCCATGGATGCTCCTGTAAGAACAGAAGTTTGTTACCAAGAGCTCAACACAAAAAGAGGCAGAGGTAGGCCGAAGCTTACTTGGGGGAAAGTAGTAAAACAAGATTTAATGGAGTGGGATATAGATTGGCGGACAGTATGTCTTAGAACAGAATGGAGAAAAGCTATAAGTATGGTGGAGGGTTAGACCCGATGTTATTCCTATGTTCCAGATGGTCCCTTTTTAGTCCTTTTCCCCTTCATTTCCCCCACTTCTTCTTGTCCCTTTCTTTTTTACTTTTATTTATTTATTTATACATATATTGTTATTTTATTTTATCTTTTTTTATTTTTTTATTTTTTTATTTTATTTTTGGCTTTTTTTTTCAACCGTTTTGTATCTTTCATGTGGGTTCATCTACCACCGACCCCAATTAATTTGGGATAAAGGTGTTGTTGATGTTGATGTATTGTTGTTTCTGGGTGAATTTTCAAGTTTCAAACTTATTTGTATTTGCTGGCCATAATCATATGTACTTGGGGCCTTATTAATTTTTATAGAATGTTTATTGTTTCTTGTTTTCTTTTTACAGAAGTTTTTGCAGTTTCTGTATTTGCTGGCCATAATCATATGCAGTTTCTTTTTACATGAGGGTATTATGGTCTGATGTCATTTGTCAATCCTTCATTTCCCTGGCTAAGTTTGAAATACCACATGCAATTTGTCTTTCCTAACAGTGAATTTCCCTTGCTTTCTACTACAAAATGTTGAAAGCTATCTAAATCTAATAGATGGGGAAATTGAAAGAAACCTTCTACCAAACATTGGTGTTTAACTTTCCCACTTTCACTTGCATAGACATCCTTTTAGATACCCCCAACCAAACACCACCCTAAGGGGGCGTTTGGTTGAGGAGAAATTTTTTGAATACTAGGGATGTAATTGATAGGGAAATGGTTGGAAAGTGAGTTTGGTAGGAAAATGTAAAAAAAGTTGTTTGGTTAGAAAAAAATTTACTGGGAAAATTAGGTAAGATTTATAAAGTCTATGTTTGGTTTGAGGTAAAATATAGATGGGGAAATAAGATACAATTACAAAAATATTCCTATTTTTAAAATTTTTGAGAAAATAAAAAAATTGTAAATGGGAAAATTTTGGTGTGTGTTCTCTTTTATTTCGATGACTCATATTTCCAACAGTCTCAGAGAACCCTCTTTTTCCGGTGGCCCTTGGAGTTTCCACTTCAGTGCTTCCACAGTCAAACCTAGGCATACCTCTGTCTCCTTCAGATTCAAATCATGCTCCTTCCCCATCAAAGTTGCCATTTTCGGCTTGTCAATAAATTACACAGCCTCAGCAACAAATACTTAAATAAATGAAGCTATTTTTATTTTATTTTTTGTTTTCCTTTCTTTCTCTCTAAAAGTGTTTCTCCTTATGGCTTGGTTATCCCTGACTCCATTGTCCTCTGTTTCTCATAGCTCCACTTCACCTTCCAAAAGATTCACTTCTTGATACAAGATTGTAGTGTCGATGGTTCTCGTTTATTCATGCTAATAGGAGGGTAGGCTTGTCATCAGATTCTTGCCTATTGTGATGATTTAGGTAGATAACATATAATACCACATTGCAAATGGGAAAATTTTGCTGGCTATTTTCATCAGATGTCTATGCAAATGGTTAAGGTGGCTTTTCTATTTAGGTAGACATATTTTTAAAATGCTTAAACCAAACATGGACACTCAATAATCCCACTTCTCAGATGTCTATGTATCTCATCAGAATCCCTAAACCAAACACACCCTAAAGATTTAAAATTTTTAAACATGAGTAAGGTTATATTGATAAACTTTTGTTGACAAACTACATTATGTCTGACCGGTAATACTCTACTCAAGAGTGTATTGTCGGTCATACATAGTGTAGTTTGTAAGAGTTCGTAAACAAAAAATTTGTAAATATAACATTTCCTTTTAAACATATTAAAAACATTATCTTTATTTTTTATTTAAAAAACATAGGTGTATCTGGAATGATTAAAAATAAACGTAATAAAATATTTAGTATTTAATTTATTGTCTAAATAGAATATCATTTATCAATTCATGTATATCAAAATGCACAAGGCCTGGTATTTTAAATGTTCTTCTCAATTTAAGTCATTTTTTCTTAAATACAAATTTTGCATGAGAAATGACACATAGCTCTGATTATGATAGCTCGAACTTGCACAGATAACTTTGTTATGATCGTGTATTTTTTTTTCTATTTCAAGTATTAAAATAAGTCTTTATTATCTCCAATGTGATAGAAGAAAAAATTATCTCCTACAAAGATAAATGTGTGTGTGGACCTATATTTTTTTTTATCTATCTCTTCTCTGATCACATGAGGTGTGCAAAATAACCAAAAAATTGAACCGAACCATGAATCCAACCGAACCGCCTTTAAAATAATCGGTTTTTAAAAATCAGTTCATGAACCGAACCGTTTTTAAAGAACCAGTTCATGAATTGAACCGGTTTTTAGAACCAGTTTAAGAACCGAACCATTATGAACCGAACTAAACCGTTTTCGAACTGTTTTTAAACCGAACCAAAATTGATTTTTGTAAATTGATTTTTTAAAGTTTTAATTTTTTTCTTTTCAAAATAGGGTCGACCATCCGGTTCCGAACCGAACTGTTTCCAACCGAACCGAACTAGTTTTGAATCGAACCGAATCACTTTCGAACCAAACCATTTAAACCAATTCGGTTCGGCTCAACCCATGCACATCCCTAACATCCGTAAACATCTCACACTCTTATATATGAGTAGAAGTTAATTTCATCTCCTACAATATGAGAAATAACAAACCTTTTATTTAAAGAATTATAATGGTTTCATATATATTGTTTAGGAAAATTCCTTTCATGACCCAAGTCAGACAATAGAGACAACAACTATATAAATCACGTTTTAAATGTGTCTATTCCTAAATTTACATTTTTATCTATTTTTTAAAATATTAACCGGTGTCCGAAGACATAACGGACTCGATGAATCCAATTTTGGATTTGAACCTTTCCATCATTTTCCGGAGTTGCGACTCTCAAGAATTGGATACATGATCAGAATTCAAAGGGCTTTAATTATATTTATGATTTTTATTTTTTTTAATTCCAGAAATCAAGGAGATATATAGGCATGAAGGGAGTTTGTTGCTAGCAAAAGGTTAACTACAATCTGATTTTGTGCGAGTTAGAATTCAAGCAGTTTTATCGCATTTATGAATCTTCATTTTTTTTTTTCAGAATTCAAGGAGATATTACTGTTGAATTTTGGAAACAGAGAATAAAATTTTATTTCCAATGTAGCTAGTTGTTTCAAAATGAAAATCCAGTTTTAAAAATATTCAGAGGCATTTACATTGAGTTGAAATATAAGGACTAAGGAGCGAGAAGCGAAGAGTAAGGCTTTGAGACACAACGATCAAACAATTTGAACAGTCATCTTATTGTTGGGATTTTTAAACCAAAAAAAAAAAAAAAAAAGAGATTGCAACAAATCCTAACTGCCAAATTCCCTAAGACTGCTCCTTTCTATTATTCGAAGACTGTACAGAAATTATTCATTCCTTCATTGTCTTGTCTCCTTTTCTCTGTGAACCCTAGAAATGGAAAACTCAGAGGAAATAGAAAAGAAGAGAAAGAAGGTAGAAGAAGAGAGTGATCTTCTTACTCTTTCGCTATCACGCCGTTCAGTAAGAGCCAGACAGAATCCCCCTCCAGAGGTACCGCCAATACCATCCCAATCCCAATCAGTCACAGTTCAGTTTAATATGTCACATACCTCACCACATCAACAATTACCCTTTCAATTACCATCGAATCCTCAAGGCTCAACTAACCTTCGTGAAGGCACATTGTCCCCACCTGTTCGCCCTCGTCGTACACGAACTCAAGGTCCACGCGAAGAGAATAATGAAATCATCCCTCCACCATTCCCATGGGCCACCAATCGCAAAGCTACTGTCCACAGCCTCAATTATCTCTATCAAAACCAAATTTTAACTATCACAGGAGACGTTCAGTGCAAGAGGTGCGATCGCAAGTTCGGGATGGAGTATAATCTGAAGGAGAAATTCGATCAAGTTAAGAATTACATTTCGATGAAAGAATCCACCATGCGTGATAGGGCCCCAGACGTTTGGACCAGTCCAATGTTGCCAACTTGCAAGTATTGCGGACAAGAAAATAGCCTTAAACCCATCGTTGCGCAGAGAAAAAAATCAATTAATTGGCTATTTCTATGGCTAGGGCAAATGCTGGGTTGTTGCACGCTTGACCAATTGAAATATTTTTGCAAGCACAACAAAAAGCATCGGACTGGTGCCAAAGATCGAGTTCTTTATCTCACTTATCTTGAACTCTTCAAACAGCTCGATCCCAATTTCGTCCTCAATCATCCATTTTAGCTATGGTACATTTTATGCTTCTATTATCTAAGTAATGAATTTATGTATCGCATGTAGACTTTGATTTTCCATTTTTGTTTAGAATATTGTAGCCATGTTTATGTTTGCTTCGAATAACAATCGTGCTCTTAATTCATCGAATAATTTTGTTCTTCTAATTTTTCCTGTCTGTTCTCTTTGAATAATGAAATAATTAAAAAAATTATTAGTTTTATGTTAATAGACGGTTATACATGCTTATCGATCTTTTTGTTATTTTAATTGACACAGTCAACAGTAGGTTTAATTTTAATTTTAAATTTTAATTAATTTAAAACATTTAACGTATTTTTATTTTAATGTATTGCATGAAAAATTCCTATAATAACTCGATTGTTAAAGACATTTTTCTAATTAAGTCTTAATTGTCTTTTTTCAACGTAAATATATTGTAGTCGCAATTTGTCTAATTTTATAAGTATGCGAATGTGGCGTCAGATTTTCCATCTCCCTTTAATTAGAATAAATATTAACTTCATAAAAGAAAAAAGAAACCATTTTTTTTTTGGAGAATAAAAAAAGAGGAATGACGAATGAGTTTCTCTTGTTGACTCATTCCCACCTGCAGACACAGAAAAAAACATTCTGTCAGTTTCTTTTTTCTTTTTCCGGAGAGTTAATAGTTTCTATAGGAAAAACTATTAAGCCATAAAAGAAACCATCCTTATATTGGCCAAGACTGCTGCATTCCAATTTTGAAGGCACAAATCATGTATTCCTCCATGTTCCTCTCTGAGTCAATAAGTCAGAGGAAATGGACAAAAAGAAAAAATAACTATCTCTCAGTGTCATGACCTCCTGTCAAGCTCACTCTCACTCGTTAGTAGTTATGGAATAAATATTTGTCATTTTATACGATATGTTGTATTTTTATACGAAATGAGACAAATGACGTAATTTTGATGTATAATTGATGATTTTTTTATATTTTCTCTCTTTTATATTCCCTCTCTTCCTAATTTTATGGAGGAGATAGGATATAAAAAATCATCAAATATATACGTCAAAACTCATTTAAAATGACAAATATTTTTTAAATTAAAATATGAGAATGATTATATTATCTACTTATTTAATCATTCTATCTTTCTTTTTTTTGGGTAAAATCTTTCTATCTTTATTATCTTTTTATTACGTTAAATTAATTTTAAATCAATGATCTCAAATAAAATAATTTTTTTATTTTTCTCTCCCTTATTTTTCTCAAATAAAACCAGCATCGCCCATGCTTTCCGCAAAATCTGCATTATATATCACACACACAAGCGCAAATTTGCATATAAAAAAAATGTTATTTGAATACATACAAAATAATTCGAGTAATGTATTAAAAAAAAGCCATTCGAGTAGTGTTTGGTTTGGTTTATTATTTGTTAAATATAAGCTCAAAAACTATTGAATATGGTTGCACTTAATTAAGCTGACTTATTAAGTGATAATATAAAAAAGTTATGCTATTTTATTTTGATTTTAACATTTTATATAGTATTAAGTAATTGGTTGATTCAATTCATTTAGTAATTATTAATTTTTTCTACTCATCAATTCTTTAGTTTAAACAACATTAGTAACTCATTTTTAAATTAAATACAAACTAATTAAACACAAATATTTAGAATAGGCGTAGCAAATTAGTAAGAGTATCGAGGGTCCTTTAGGTACTAAAGGGGAGATACTCTTTTACTAAAAATAGAAAAAAATGAAAATTAAGTGAATATAATCATAAGAGGGTGGGTAAATGGATAAAATTTGTTATATTACTTTTTTGAAAAAATTTAATAAAAGATGTACCGACGTACTATGGGAATATTGAAGATATTTTTTCCTAATAACATGTAAATTAGCTAGATACATGTAAAGAATAAAATAAATAAAAAAGAGAGGAGATGGACTTTAAAATTTACTAATAAAAATGGCTCGTAACATTGATGTGGTTCGAAGAAGATATTATCGATAAAATAATGACAACGCAACATGTTCCAAAAAACAAATAACATTGCTCTATATATATATATATATATATATATATATATATATATATATATATATATATATATATATATATATATATATTTCACATTCTATATGGTAAAATTATTTATGTAGCCGCTTTACGTACAACAACGACATGTGTATGGTTATGACTCCTCACATTTAATGCTTTCATCCTTTGTATGGTTATGATTCTTCGCATTTAATGCTTTCAAGTATATATATGACAAGTATTTAATTGCTGCACGTACAGTTGCAGAAATGTAAACCCCTATATATATATGGGGAAAATGTGTGTCATTTTTTTTTTTGGTAAATTCATGGGGTAAAAACCCCACAAATGTGTGTCATTTTAAATGACACACCTTACATCATTTCACTCTCACAAAGAGGCGAGACCCACATCTTTTAAACTTTTTCCCCCACTCTCTCTCCCATGATTTATCTCTTTCTCTCACATAAAATGACACAACATTGAGTCCTTTAAAATGATACACACTTTTTCTTATATATATATATATATATATATATATATATATATATATGTGTGAGATTCTATTTTCTTTATCTCCTACTATAGATACATAATGTGATGTGGCCCATCATTTATTAAAAAAAAAAAGAAAAAAAGAAAAATGGTGTCACAATTTTTGATGTGAGACAACATGAGAGAGTTATCTCATGTAAAATGAGATAATGATTTCCCTATATATATATAGGGAAATATTACTCTCCTTTTACATGAGGTAACTTATCTCATTTTCTCTCACTTCGATTTCCGCACCCCACTTTTTTCTTCTTTTTCTTTTTTCTTGTAATGGTGGGACCCACCCATTTTCTCTCTACCACATAAGATAACTATCTTATGTGGAAGGAGATTAATAAAACCCATATATATATATAGGCTTAACGTTTCTCAAGCAGCTTGAGATAATCTTATCTCGGGCTACTAAATTATAACCGTACAAAGATGGATCAATGGTAATAAAGGAAGAGAGAGAAAAAGAAAATCATAATCATTCAAAGGTGAATCAATTGATATAAGGAAATAAATAAATAAAACGACGTAGTTTTGGGTAGCCGGAGATAAACTTATCTCAAGCTGCTTGAGAAATGTTTTTCCCTATACTTTGGGTGTGGTAGAATACTTTGACATCGTTGTCAAATTTTGAAATTTGACACCAAATCTGATCTGTTGATTTTCGCCAATCAACAGTTATATTTATTGGAAATTATAGTACTTAATAAGTTTGATTCCCAATAAATGATAACCATCGATTGGAAGAAATCAAAGGTTAGAATTTGATGTCAAATTAGTGTCATGTTAACCCGTATAATAAGCAATATACAATGAGTTTGTGGGTTATCGTATCCTGTCCACCCGTAAAATAAGCGGGTCATGTTGGTGTCAAACATTTTAACCGATTTCAAATTTGTGTCGTGCTCGTGTTGAGTGTGTTCATGTTCGTTTCGAATTCGTGTCGAATAGACTTGATTCGCCACCTTTACTTCTACTTATATAGAGAAGAGTGTTAGAGATATATAAAATCATTACTGTAGTCTCATCCATCAACTTAAGTTTTTTAGTTGAATTGGTTCCTTGCATGGTATCAGAGTCTTGGTGTCACAGATTCGATCCTCACTGTCCCGACTTTATGATCTTGTGGAATTTCTTAGCACATGTAGGTAGGTTGTTTATTGTCCATCCTTCAAGTCCAGTGGACTCTTGTGTAAGTGGATTTTTGGATTGGATTGGCTCTTTATAAAAAAAATGTAAAATTAAGACTTCCCAAAGAGGCACTATAACTAACTGATTAAAAGCACGCGGCATGTTCAAGTAATTTTATTTATTTATTACAAAAATTTTAAAACTACAATTTTTTTTATAGTTTTTATCATAATAAGTTGACATTATTATTTACTATATTTCAAATTAAATCATTTTTATATTCCAAGTACAATTATATCATTTAGTCAGTTTTATATTTTCCTAAAATTCACACTTTTGTTGAAATAAAAAATATTAACTTGGGTGAATAATTTGTACTACTTAATCAATAAAACTCCATTAATCTTTGATGAGTTATGGATGGACTAAGATAATATTACTCTTGTTTTAATGCCGAAGCAATAATCAATTAATTGCAAAAAAAGAAAGAAAGAATTGCAAAATAATGATTTCTCTTTTCTAAAATTTTATTCAGCATAAACAGCCAAATAACAATTAGGTTCTCCACATCTTAAATAGGCGAAACAAATTAAAATAAAATGAGAATAAAATCAAACAGAATCATAAGGGATTATACGAGATTAAAATAGACAACGCACAATCAAAATAGAATTAAGGAAATAACGAAAAGATAAAACAAAATTACTGAAATTTCGTAAGCTACAGAATAAATTGAAAAAAATAAACCAAAAAACTCATTTAAACAACTCTGGAAGACTCGAAATAATTTTCGACCTAATATCTAATTCCATTAAAAAAATTGTTACCAACGAAGAAATATTTGCTGACTTTAATTCTATCAAAAATTTCATTTTCGACGAAATTTTTATTATTTTTGAGAAAATATTTTCAACAAAATATTTCTGCCGAAAAAATAACAATTTTTAGTAGTGACGGGCTTTGCTCAAAAATTAGTTTCGAATTATCCAATCAAATTTGAGCTCAATTTGAGTTAGTCAATCTAAGCATGGTTAATTTCACGCTGTCTTATTTTAATTGTAATTTACTATAATTATTAAGTAATTGGCTGGTTCAATTCGACAGTGACGCGGGAAAACAAACCTAGGAACAAGGGAAAGGGTAAGGCTTCAGCCATAACAATAAAAGATTTGAATAATAGGCATTATTTTATTTTTTATTTTTTTATAAACGAATAATAGGCATTTTAGTTGGCTTGTTTAAATTCAAAAATGGGATAGCAATCCAATCCAATCCCAAGTGATGTTATATATATACTCCTCTCTTTGGAAGGAACCAATAGTTTCTTTCTCAAAGCCTCTCTGTGTCCCAAATAAAGATGGAAAACTCAGAGGAAAAGGGCACAAAGAAGAGACAGAACTCAGAGGAAGAGAATGATTTTCTTACTCTGTCACTGTCTTGCTACCGTCCAGTTAGAGCTAGACAAATTCCCAGTCCAGAGTTACCACAAATTCAACATAGGGTTTCACAACCACTCTCAATGCAGAGGCTGTTGGATAATTTGCCTCAGACTCAGGCCTCACCACAAGAACAATCACCCTTTCAATTACCATCCACTCTTCCTCTGTTTGGATCCACTAACCCTCCTGAAGACTTTTCGTCCCTTCATGTTCGCACTCCTCGCACACCAACTCAAGGCCCACGCGAAGGGAAGGGTGACACCGTTCCTGTACCTTTCCCGTGGGCCACCGATCGCCGAGCCACTGTCCACAGCCTCAGCTATCTCTTAGAAAAACAAATTTTTACTATCACGGGAGAGGTTCAGTGCAAGAAATGCGAGCGCAAGTTCGAGTTAGGGTTTGATCTGAAGGAGGAATTCGCTCAACTTTGGAGCTTTATTTCAAAGCGCAAACCCACCATGCATGATAGGGCCCCGAGCGCTTGGATGAATCCAGTATTGCCAACTTGCAAGTATTGCAAACAAGAAAATTGCGTCAAGCCCATCGTTGCGGATAAGAAGAAAAAAACAATCAATTGGTTATTTCTATTGCTGGGGCAAATGCTTGGGTGCTGCACGCTTGAACAATTGAAATATTTTTGCAAGCACACCAAGAACCATCGAACTGGTGCCAAAGATCGGGTTCTCTATCTTACTTATCTTGGACTCTGCAAACAGCTTGATCCTGAGGGACCTTTTGGTCGTTAATTTAGCTATGGTATATTTTTACTCTTCTTTCTTCTTAGTAGTCAATTTATGAATCTCAGTTTAGGATTTAATTGTCCATCTTCGTTTAGAAGGTAGAGGTTTTTAATTTTTGCTTTCAATAATAACGAACTTCTTGTTTGTTATTTAATTATCATTACACATAACAAATATATTTTACTGTTATAACTCCTTATCTGTTTGTTATCTTTAATGGATTGGATTTAAAAGTTTTAAAATTTTAAAAATTGATAGATTCAAAAGTTTAAAATCTTTGACATCTTTTCATGTTTACCATAAAATTTAGTTAGATTAAACGTTAGTTTCATCCTAAGAAGAAAATAAAAACTCCCTAAATATTTATCCCTTTGCGTCAAGATATATGGCAAATTGCCAAACACAATTTTTGAATAAATAACAAGATTTAAACAGACAGAAGAATTAACTTAACTAATAAATCATTTGAATTTAATCAGCAATTCTATAATAACTTCAACCTGTAAAATTAATGGAAGCAATAAGAAGTCCATCATGTCTAGGTGAATTAAAATAATTTCATAATAAAACGGTGGAGAAGATGTCACGTTGTCTATGTTGAGGTAAAAATCTTTGTGATGAAAAATGAGAAAATTTAATGCCCGTTATGTCATAAACTGAAGAAAAAATATTTTATAGATATTGTCAGCCGAAAAAATAATAATACAATGATCGAAGTAAAATAATTCTCTCAAGATGTTCAATAATTGTTCATTATTATTATTTCTAGTATTATTACTTTAAAATAATTCTCTTAGAACATTGTTTTTAATCATTTAATTATTCTATTGTATTTCTTGACATAAAAATCAATAAAATCTAACACGTGTTTAGGTAAAATTATTCTTGACATAACATTTTTAAAGGGATAGGATAGTGTAACAACCAAGTAGTGTTACTACCAATCAATTTTACGGTTAGATCGATTATGTTGATCCAACGGTTATATTTATTTTCATTTTTATATTTATAATTTTTCATATTTTATATTTTATATTTATTTTCATCTTTGTATGTTTACGATTTTTCATATTTAATACTTTCACTTTAAATATGGAGAATCATAACCATACAAAGATTGAAATAAATATAACCGTTGGATCAACATGATCGATCTAACGGTGAAATTGATTGGTAGTAACACTTGATTGTTATAATATTCTTCCCCATTTTTTAAATTATTATTCTAGTAGTGCTATAGTATGTCGAAGTGATGTTGTATGAATATATCTTATTGCGTTGTCTGATTTAAATACAAACAAAATTCAGTAATCGAAATGCTCATTTAAATACAAACAAAATTCAGTAATCGAAATGCTCACGTAGAATGAATATTAGAGTTCAACCAAAAAAAAAGAATGAATATTAGAGTCCTCATCGACAGTGTTATTGCTTAACATGAATCATAACTCCGTATAAGTGCATCTGGCAAAATGATTCAAATGGTAAGAATTGAATTAGTTAATTAATTAGGTGGGAGCAAGAATCCGGTTTTGTTTCATTTGAATGGCCCCATGGATCTCTTTTATCATATTGATGATCAGGTGTTGTTGACCGACCTGGAAATCCAATGAACGGTTGTTTTGGACTATCATACTTTTGTTATTCTAAATCTTCCAGCAAGTAATCTCAAACATCGTCAACGAAGAGATATCATGCCACTTGCTATGATCACTATAGATGTTATGCTCAAACCAAGTTGTGGTGTTCACCTAGCTGGAAAAACCTCAGCCTGAGTTCTGCAGGAAGGAGGAGATCCCATGGGTGATTCCAAACTGATTTGAAATCAAAACCTGTTTTGAACTATAAATCAGTTTTAAATTAATCCGGTTCTAAACAGATTTAAGAAAAGAAAAATCGGTTTGGGAAAATTAAAGCTGATAAATCAAACCATTAACCAATTCGGTTCGATTCGACTTACAAATCAAACTGAACCAACCCATGGGCTCTCCTATGGAGAAGAGAAGAGCATTAATCCCCTAAGCACACAGAAAGGTATGTATAGATTCCTTCTAGTTTGATGACGACATTCTTAACAAACAAATCCGCCCATAAATTCTTAGGCGGTGAATGAAATTAAGCTTCATTCAATTCTATAGAGAGATAAAGAGACACCCTCCATGACGATATTTTTCTGCCTCTGCAAGCATATTGAAGGCCACAAGGGGTTCCCCAAAATTCTGCTTCTTTTGGTTAGCAATTTTCTTTAGCCGAAAAAACATCCAGCAACACTCCTGTATCATTTCGAATGAATGTAATAATGGAATATTGTAGGTGAGTATTGCTTTTTTTTTTGTGTGTGTGTGTGTACGTGAATTTGAATGTTTGACATAATCATTAATTTTAATAATATTTATCTTTATATTTACAATTGTATGTATAGATTAAGGCTTATGAATTTTAATTTATTAGATTATATATGAAAGTATAACTCAGTGCATATTTAGCTTCTCATGAATTTTCTTTAAACATGATTTGGATAAAAAAATTTGTCTAATTTGTGTATTTTAGATTCTAAACATGACACCAACCATTATTTTAATGTCATATACTAGTAATGTTACATGTGAATGTGAAATGAGTAGTGATAGGTGGCCTAGCTTATAAAGCTAGATACTCTCCGACTATAACAAGCATTGTTTTAATATTTAAAATAGAAAAAAAAAAAAAAAAACATACACTATCACACATTCACACTAAGATAAAGTATTTGAGCTATCATAATGCAATAAATGTATCGTTTCATGCAAAGGTTGTGTTCAAGAAAAACTAACTTGAAAAGGAGAATGACTGGGAGGGTATGCTTGGTGAGTAGGTGTTTTCTTAAAATGTACAGCGGAGTTACGGGGTATTTTTATAACGGTCCTTTTTTTCTCATTTCATTAGAAAAAAAGTTATCTTATGTCACTCAATATAATATAATTATGTACCTCGGTGAGTATAGAGTTATAATATTAAAAAAAAAATCTCTCCACGTCAGCGGACAATTCCTGAAGAGAGAGAGATAATTTTTTTTTAATATTATAATTATGTATTCTCCATAGTATATAATTATAATGGATGATATAAGATAAGTTTTTTTTCAGCAACACAAGACAAGGATTTTTCATTTTTTAAAAAAAGCCGGAGTTTTCCTCCAAAAAGAAGCCTCCAAAATATTATTCTAGAAAGTGATTCAGTTTTGTCGACTAAGCCATTCTGTGTCCAAATACAATACATTGAAATCATTGGTTAAGCTGGAAAAATCATTTACAAGTTGATCATGTAATTGGTGATGTTTGAACTTGTTTCTTGTTTTTCTGGGTTTTAACTTTTCAATTTAAAAAAGTAAATAACAAAAAGAACATTTAAAATATTAGAATTTGTGCATTTCAATATTCATGAATTGATTAATGGTATTCTATTTAGAAAATAAATTAAATATTAAACATTTTATCACATCTATTAGTCATAATTTTATAGACACTCATGTATTTTTAATGAAAACTAAAGATCATGCTTTTAACATGTTTAAATGTTTTAAATCTTTAGGTGAAATTCAGGAAAGAGAATAAATTAAAATTTTAAAAATTGATATAGGTAGATAATATTTTTTAACTTAGTTTTCAATTTTAAATAGTTAGTTGCGTGGGTTCTTGTGTATTATATACCAATTATAAAATTAAATTTTAGTATTTGTTGTATTTTATTATTTAAAATTTATAAAAAATGATAACAACTATTAGAATAATTATCTTTTTTATCAGAAAAATAAAATTAACTAATGATAATTTTATTTAGAAATTATTCATTTGTCTCCCTTTTTTTTCAACGAGCCATTGAAATGAAAAACTCAGAGGAAATAGAAGAAAAAGATGGAAGAAAAGAGTGATCTCCATACTCTTTCACTGTCATGTCATTCAATCAGAGTCGACAGAATCCCAATTCCCCTCTAGAGCTATCACCTATTCCATCCCAACCGATCTCAATCCAAAAGTTGTTTAATTTGTCCGACACCTCATCACATCAACAATTACTATTCATTTACCATCCATTTTCATTTAGAATGTAGATGTTTTTAATGTTTGCTTTCAAAAAAAATTATTGTGTTGTTTTGCTTTTTTTTCTCTTTACAAATAACAAACACATCTTACAGTTATACATGCTTATCTGTTTGTTATTTTATTTTATTTTTTTTTGGTAAACATCTGTTTGTTATTTTTAATGGATTGGATTAGATTCGAAAGTTTTAATTTTAATTTTAAATCTTGATGGATTCAAATGTTTAAAATATTTAATATCTTTTCATGTATAACATGAAAATACCATGACTCTATTGTTAAAAGAGATTTGTGTGTAGTTAAGTCTTGATTTCAATGGAAATATGTTGTTCTTTTAATTAGTTAACTACACACAAATCTCTTTTAATATTTTTTTTTTACAAACTACACTATATTTTCATGAACACTAGGTTACATTATATTCTTCTGGGAAGTATATAATGTAATTTGTAAAAATTTATAAAAAAAATTCGTAAACGGAACATTTCTCATATTATAATATTTAAAAAAAATATGTACTAGTTTTGGAGAATAGCCAGTGCCAAGGCCGCAGCTGATCTCCAAGCGGCTCCACCACTGTTCTGCGGGGATATCTCCAATTGATCATGACCTCCTTACGTAGGGGTGTCAAAACGAGTTGACACGACACACATTTGACACGACACGAATACATTAATACGAACACAACACGAATTTTTATTCATGTCAAAATCTTCAACACTAACACGATACGAATTTTTTACAGGTTGACACGACACGACATGAATAACATGCAAAATAGGGGTCAAAACAGTAATTGACAAAAAAAATTAAAAAAATGGGTCGAAATTAAAAAATTAAAAAATAAAAATAGAATAATTAAAAAAAAATATGGGTCAACACGAACACGAATACATATCGACACGAAATTTTTTACGTGTCATTTTT